AAAAAAAAAAAAAAAAAAAAAAAAAAAAAAAGGGGGGGGGGGGGGGGAAGTGGGCGTGGACAGACATGAGACCCTGATAGGTGGCAGGCAGGCATGGGCAGATGCTGAACCAGATGAGAGGCAGGCTGCTGTTTATGTGGTGAAACTGAGCTGCTGTGGATGGGGAAGCCATCTGCCAAATGTCGTTCAGTAGCTACTTGGTTTGAATCAGTCTCTGGTAGCCCATGCTGACTTCAAACTGTGTAGCTGAGAACGAACCTTGAATTTTTCCTTTCTTCTTTCTTTCCTTCCTTCCTTCCTTCCTTTCTTTGGTTTTTCAAGACTGGGTTTCTCTGTGCAAAAGCCCTAGCAGCCTTGGAACTAGCTCTGTAGACCAGGTTGGCCTCGAACTCACAGAGTTCCGCCTGCCTCTGCCTCTGCTTCTGCCTCCCAAGTGCTGGGATTAAAGGTGTGTACCACCACCCACCACCCAGCTCGAACCTTGAATCTATAATCCTGCCTCCACCTTCAAGTGCTGGGGTTACGGGTATGAACCACCAAATTTAGTTAGTTTATGTGGTGCAGGGGATGGCCCCAGGGCTTCATGTACTGTAAGCAAGCACTCCACCAACCGAGCTGTAGTCCCAGCACATGGCTACTTTTTAAGCACCTGCTTGGGCAAGTCCCTCCCGGTGCAGGATGGTGCTCAGTTCTCCAGGGCTTGGGCTTTTGCCGTTTTAGGGGATAGGATGGATCTACCTGCTCATCAGATTCACACTTCTTTTCTGAGCGTTCCTTGCCGGAGTTTCCCCCAGTTCTGTTAAGGAGAATGGGCAGGTTTTACTGGTGTAATTTGCAGTGTGGGAAGAGGTGAGACCTAGGAACTATTGCTTTAGGCACCTTTTTTTGTTTTTGTATATGTCTTTGTTTATCTTCCTTACTCACTCTTGCTCTTTGAGTTATGGGAGCACACTAATTTGGCTAACCAGGCTGGCCAGCGAGCCCCAGGGATCCTCCCCTTACTCCCTCGCTCCTTCTCCCTCTCCTCCCTTTCTCTCTATAACTCTCT